CAGGCACTCTAGCAAAATACCCTTGTCCTCATGTGAAGCTACCGATATGCTATTCAGACGATCCGTGAATGAGCATAAGTGGATGTGCACCCATGGCAGATGCTCCTTTATTGCGGCAAGCTGTGCCGTATGCCGGTCGCAGATAACCGTTTGAACCCTACTGACCTCCAGCATGGTTTTACAAAAATGCCGGAGAACCCGTTCATACGATTCGGCGGTTTCATTTTCAATAAAACCGTAGTGAACACTTCATCCTTTCCCGCGACAATCTATAACGACAACGTGCCACAGGTGATACGATCCACGATTACACTGCGTGGTCGAATCAAAATGCAGTACTTCGTTATACATGCTGAACATTTCTTTCAGTTCATTTAGTGAGAAACCTAGAAACTTTAGACGTTTAGTTTCTGAACACCGCACTACGTACAAACAGCCGCGATTATCAATTAGGTGCTTTATGCACTCTAATTCGTTGGACGGTTGCGTGACCTCTCGACATCGGCTACGCATGTTTCTCAGGTCATAGTAAGCGAGTACTATATTCCAATGTTGTCTTACGTAATCACGGATTTCCGCGTTAGAATGGAATGTTTCCATCAACGTGAAAACTCTGACTCCTTGATCTGCACTCAATCTGCGGTTAGTGTAATATACACTGGGAAAATGTCCAAAGGTAATGTGGAGGTGCCGCATATTCACCTTCGACACGGGTATCCCACCGCTTCCCAAATCATACACCAGGTAAATCAACGCGGAGCATCCAAAGTCTGCTTGCCTAAGGGCATAAGCGATACTAAGTTATTTATCAGTTAATTACTTAGGTTTAGGGCAGCTTCTCTGCTTATTATGAATGCATACATACGGTGCTCAGTAAAAGTCGTGGTAAGCTGGTATTTCCAGGCGCCTTTTTGTTGTCTGGCGTTCTCTAGATATATTGTTCTGAATTAAGTAGCTGTTCCAGTTTGACGCTGGAAGTTCGACAACTTGGCCTGGGAAACACCAAGGGTGGGGAATGGCCCCATACCAACGATCTCGTTGAACACCTCGGCAAGATCAATACCGGAAGTAGCACGGACCGCCGCCATTGCTGTCACAGGAATGCGGCCGCCATCTTGTGGACCCATCTTTTATACCTTAGCCACCATTGGACATTCATCACGTGACAAACTCCAGCCGATCACTTACTAAAGTTTGTCTTGTGCATGAATCGACTTCCTGATTCCAATGCGGA